TAGACGGAAGGAATGAGTGAATGACATAAAGGAGGAAGTTGGCACAAAAGGTTCGCCAGATTTTGATCCATCTGCAGGTAAAAAAAGTACTGCCGACCAACACGCAATGAATGCATGGGACTGGGACATAGCGGTATTATGTCCGATTGCAGGAAATGCGCAATTTGGCAGGTTTCTACAACGTTAACTTGTTGCTGAGAGAATTACCGTAAATATCCGTACCTTATACAAGACGATACGAAGGCAAGTACGGAATTTCGGTAGTCCTGCACTGTCGCAGCTTTTTTTACGGAGGGAGTAGATAATGATGGAGGGACAAGTACGGAACTGGCAGAAAGTACGGATTTCCGTAAAAATACGGAAGAGTGGAAGAACAACAACAGTAACAACAACAAAGACACAAGTGTGCACTCACTGAGTCGTGTGACAAACACACACACACACACATACATACACCCTCACACAACAACTTACAACAACAACAGCAACAACAAAGACACAAGCGTGAACTCACCGAGTCGTGTGACAAACACACACACATACACCCTCACACAACAACTTACAACAACAACAACAGCAACAACAGCAACAACAGCAACAACAAAGACACAAGCGTGCACTCACCGAGTCGCGTGACAAACATACATACACCCTCACACAACAACTTACAACAACAACAACAGCAACAACAAAGAGACAAGCGTGCACTCACCGAGTCGCGTGACAAACACACACACATACATACATAACAACAACAGCAACAGCAACAACAAAGACACAAGCGTGCACTCACCGAGTCGTGTGACAAACACACACACATACATACATAACAACAACAACAACAGCAACAACAACAACAGCAACAACAACAACAACAACAGCAACAACAACAACAACAACAGCAACATCAGCAACAACAAAGAGACAAGCGTGCACTCACCGAGTCGCGTGACATGTTGTCGCAGGCCTCACAGTGCCAGGCGTATCCGCGCACCTTTGGAGACTTCTTCATGGGCGGGTCCAGGCACAGCAGATGGTAGGCCAACATGCACTCGTCACACCTGGGGAGGGGAACACACAAGACACAGGTGAGGGGAACACACAAGGCACAGGTGAAGGGAACACACAAGACACAGGTGAGGGGAACACACAAGACACAGGTGAG